GTTTGATGTATAAAGCGGACGAGGAATCTGGAGAGTATCTTCTCATCCACTGCCATGTTGCCTCAAGAATTTGGTACTGGTTATTTGGGTTACTTGGGGTTCATGCTTCACTACCCCAATCTGTGATGGGTTTAGTGTCACAGTTAGCCTTTAATCATTTACCTTTCGAGGGTATTTTGGTGTGGCAAATAGCGATAGGGGCTACTCTATGGGAACTATGGAAAGAAAGAAATAGTCAGACTGTTGAAGGAGAGAGTTTATCTTTTGATAAACTGTCGAGTAAAGTCAAACTATCCATTTGGTCTTGGCTCTCAGTTACTAAGGAGGGTTGGGGGATTTCACAACTAGATGTTTTGTTGAATTTTTCAAATTTGTTTTTGATGGGTAGAGTAAAGATGAAACCAATAAATATTTGGGTGGCACCTGGGGGATTTAAGTTAAATTTTAATGGGACCTCTCTGGGCAATCCAGGTTTGGCAGGCATTGGGGGTGTGGTGCAAGATTGTTTTGGAGATGTTATCTTCTCATATGCTGGCTCTATTGGTATAACCACGGCTAACCGATCAGAGTTATTGGCTTTGTTGCAAGGGTTAAAATTTTTTATCTCTAGAAACATTAGGAATAGCTGCATTATTGAAGGAGATTCAATGAACGTAATTAATTGGTGCAAGAAGGAGCAACGTATTCTATGGGAACTAAACTCTAGCTGGTTGCGAATTATGGATCTGGTGGCTCAACTTTCAATTTATTTTTGTCATGTCTTTCGAGAGGCAAATTCCTTAGCTGACTTTCTGGCTAAAAAAGGGGCCTCTTTGTTTGCTCTAGCTATCTCCTTTGATGTAATTTTTTTTGAGTAGATTTTACAAATAAAGTAAAGAACATTTGCCAAAAAAAAAAGCTTATATTGCAATAACAATAGTGAAGAAAAAATAAAACTAATAATAAATCAATTCAAGGTTGCATCATAACACCATGGACAAAAAGCTGAAAGATATTAGGCTGCTTATAGATTCAAAATTAATTTTCATATTTTTTGTACTAATTTATTTTTTATTTAAAAAAATGATAGTTCAGTTTTAAAATTTTGATGCAACCAATCCAAGGTTGCATTTAAATTTTATTAATCTAAAAGATCTTGTAATTCAATCCAAGGATGTATCATAACATCATCGGAAAAATCTACAAGTTAATAGGCTGGTTATAAATTCAAAATAAATTTATATATTTTTTGTACTAAACTATTTTTTATTTCAAAAAAATGATGGTGCGCGCCTTATATAAACCACACCCTACTAAGTGACACATTAAACACACATAAAACAGACTTTTGACCGTATGAGAGAGAAAGGCCATGAGAGAGAAACTTCAAGTTAAAAAAAAAAAACTATGAGAGAGAAAGAGAAGGACACAAAGTCACCACATATTTGGATAAACGAATCTTGGGTACAACATTTGGAGGTGTATATTAATAAGGATAGCATCAAAAAATCAAAGGTAACCCACCCAACGCACTGCATTATCTCCATGCAATGAATCTAGAAGGCATAGGGGCCCTAAAGTGGTTATTGTGGGGTTTACTTCACTAATGACACATTGGAAAAGGCCCACTTAATTCATAATTAAAGCCCTAAACCACTCCTATTAGTACAAGTAATCACTAAAAATAGACTTAGAATCAAAGATAAGCAACTTTGTCCTAGCAAATGTAGGGCACAGGAGAGCTAGCCTAGTGGGAAATGGCCATTTTAGGGCGGTAAAGTGGGCCTCATGCTAGGGACCGTGGGGGATCTTTCGATTGCCTTTACGACTACTAGTAGCTGGTGGTCCTACCACTTGGTGAGAAATCTCAATTCTTCTTGTGGTAAAGCTAGTGAGAGAAACTTTCATAAACAAGGGATTTAATGAGGGTAAGAAATTATCGCCAAAATAACGCTTACAGCATGCTCCTGCAGGAGCATACTGTATTCATTCCATCCGCCAAAGAGCCCTTGCGAGGATTTTTTTTCTTCTTTTTTTTTTTTAATCTCAAATTTTATGGTTCATTTAATAATTTCTTGTTTTTCAAAAGAAAAAGTTAATATTATGAGTTCCTCAACTCTCAAAAAAATTGAACTGCATCCTTTCAATTTTTTGAGGTTATTTTTTTAAGCACATACCTATTCTGTTTCCTTTCTTTTCTTTTCTTTCTTTTTTTTTTTTTTTTTTTTGGGTGTTAGTTGCTAGATAAAGAGCTTATATTCCCAAATTTTGAGTAAGAGTGGCAATAGGACGGCCTTGGTCTTGGCCCAGCCCTTATCCGCTCAGGGTAGGCCCAAACCCTACTAGGCCCAGGGTCCTATAAGGTCCATGGGAGGCCAAAGAAGAAGAGAAAACAAGAAAGGAGGAGGGTGGGGCCAGGCTGAACAGAGCTGGCACTAGCCCTAGCCTGGCAGAGGCTCTACTTTTTTAGGGTGGATCCGGGCAGACTCTCAGCCCGTAGCTAACCCTAATTTTGAGATCGTATAAATACTCCTGCATCAAATTTTCTGAGGGAAAAATGCACAGTATGCTCCTGCTTAGCAAATAATCTTTATGACAGGTTACTTGGTTTTTATGGGTAAAAGTAGCAAGCGAGAAATGAAGTGAGAAAGGATTCTAGAGAGAGAAAATATTAAAACACTTACCGCAATAAGAGCCCAATAGTAAAAAGAGAATGGTAAAAAACAAATTAGAGAGAGAAAGAAAGAGAGTATAGGAATTCATGAGAAGGAAAGACAGACTTGGAAGAGTAAAAAAAGGCTAACCTCGATGAAACAAAAAAAACAAAGAGCATTTATGTGGATTTTTACTGCTAAAGATAGATAATGATACATGAATGTAGAGAGAGAAAAGGAAAAGTAAAAAATTAATGGTGGCTTTTCTATATAATAGATGGGCCTAAAGTTAGAGAGAAAGCCATGAAGTGAGGGAAAAGAAGGCACAAAATATTAAAAAGAAAGAATACCCAATCACCCTATCCTTATCCTTAGGCAGAGGAATACCCTACACTTTAAGAGAGAAACTGAGAAATGTAGAGAGAGAAAGAGGGTACAATTGAAGAGAGAAACTGAGAAATGTAGAGAGAGAAAGAGAGAAAAATAAATGACAATAGTGGCCTGCACCTCATCACCTCTCCTTTTTGTGGCAGTTGACTGAAATGGCCGGCGTTCACAAAAAGAAACAAAAAGCAAAGGGCGGCCTTTGAAAAGGCCACGCCACGTGGCACAAACTATACGTGTATATATATCCAAGGCGCGGAAGGGGGTCCCCACGCTTTCACAAGGGGATTGTGAGGCCAAATAAAGGGCAGAGGGCATGAGTCAGAGATATGGTAAATTAGAGAGGGAGTGATTGAATAGTAAAATAGATTTGGAAGCGAGAAGCCTTCATAATTTGTGGGGATGTAGGAGATTGAGGTGGACGCAAATTATGGGATTAAGTGAAGATGATGGTTTAATTAGAGTCGGCTATACGAATTTTTTTTATTAAGGGTCATATTTTTAATAAAGCTATAAGTCTTTTTATATTTTTTTTATTGCTTTCAACCATGTTTTTTTAACTATATTTTTTGCTCTTTTCAAACCTTCGCTATTTTTAGCCTTCTAATTAAATTAACTCGCATATCTTAACAAGTACTATATTAGGTTTACGCTGCACGTAGCCGGCTCACTTAAGTCTACTCTTTGTCATTTATAACTTATTAGTGTCATACCTAAATTTTTTCGAATATATTCTTTTCGAATTCTATATTCTTTTCGAATTCTATCTCTTTGTGTCTTATCACTCATTAATCTCGGCATCCTCATCCGCTACACTAATTCTATTTGTTTATTTTTTTTAACCACCCAACATTTCACCTTATAGAGTAAAGCTCGTTTCACAACTTTTTCGTAGAACTTGCCATTCAGCTTCATTGGCATGTGACGATCGCATAAAATTCTGGTTGCTCATCTTTACTTCTCGTATCCAGCTTTGATTCTATGTGTGACATCTTCCTCAATCTCTTCATTATCCTAGTTATCAATCCAAGATACCAAAGCTGCGCTCTTTTTAACGTTTCTTGACTGTGGTTCTTAACTACTTTCTAGTCTCTACTCATATTATTATTAAATTTGTATTCCATATATTATATCTTAGCCCGTTTAATTTTAAAACCTTCAAATTCTAAAGCATCCCTCAAAGTTCTAACTTTATGTTGATGTCGTTTTGGGTTTCATCGATCAAAACAATATAATTTTCATACAACATGCACCATGGTACCTCATCTTATAGGCACTTAAACTGTAATTAAGATAAGGAGATATAGACTCAATGTTGATCCCTGATGTATGCTGATTGTTACTGAAACCTCACCCATCTATTCACTAGTTGTTCGTACACTAATTAGTGCCCCATTGTAAGTATGATAGTACTTAAGGGTTTAGGGAGCCCCTAGCCCAAGTCCTCATGGGGCTGACAAAGACCGGACTAGGCCAAAAAGGCCCTAGTCTAAGCCCAATCCTTCTAGGATAGAGTCAAGCGAGGCCAAACTCGCTTTAATCCCAAGCTGAGGTTTGATCGGTTGTCATTGTAGAGAAATAAAGATGCCATTTAGTGGGGAAGAGAGAGAAAGGGTCTTAGTGAGAGAGATGATAATTACGGAGACTCAAAACCTTTTTATGTAAAAATGGATGATAAAGAGAAGGAGACTTTGATTTAAATGAGAGGTACCCATTGGAATGCCGCAAGTGGTGGGGACGTAGGGTTAACCCCATCAAAGCCCTTACCCTAAAATAGCCACAAGGGTGAAGAGAGAAAGAGGTAGAGAGAGAAAGGTAAAGAGAGGGAGAGGGAGTCCCAAGATTTCAAGTAGAATTGGACAGCCCCTATCATATGGCCCCCGCCCCAAAGAATCAATCAAAGATATAAAGGACACATCCCACAAACCTAATCACATTAAAAAACACCTCAATTACCAAACCCTAAACACATAACATCCCCTCCTCCCTTCCCCTCCTTTCTCTCTCTCCTCTCTCTCTCTCTCTACCCCCCTCTCTCTCTCCTTCAAGGGCACAGTGCCCCTCCAACCCCTCACCACCTGCCGCCGTTATCTTCCCTGACGGCACCCTGACGGCGTCGGCCCCACACTAGCGGCGTTACCACATGTCAAGCTCGACCCCCTTAGAGCGCTTGACCCTGGGCCCTCCGAGTAACGTCCAGAGTAACGGCCCGCCACCGTTACCGTTAGGGTTAGGGCACGGAGACGGCAGCGAGAGCCCCGAGAACAAGCCGCCCCGCCTCCCTCGATGGACCAGGCAGGAAATCCTGGTCCTTATACAAGGGAAGCGAGTTGCCGAGTCTCGGGTCAGTAAGAAGCGAGGTCGATTCGACCCGTCCGATTCGGGAGATGGCTCGGCCCCTGAGCCGAAATGGGCCGCGATTTCGGCTTACTGCAAGCGCCATGGCGTCGATCGAGGTCCGGTTCAATGTCGAAAGCGATGGAGCAATTTGGCTGGCGATTATAAGAAGATTAAGGAGTGGGACTCGGCTAACCCAGAACCCGAATCGTTCTGGTCAATGCGGAACGACTCGAGGAGAGAGAGGAAGCTCCCTGGTTTCTTTGATAGAGAGGTTTTCGACGTTCTGGAGGGGCGGAGCCCTTCTTCTAAGCCCATTTCTAGGGTTTCAGAAGAGGTTTCCAGGGTTTCAGAGGCCAGGGTTTCTGAGATCAAGGCGGAGGTCGAGAATGGGGGTTTTGATGGAGGCAGGGGTGCCAGGGTTTCGGAGAAAGGGAGGAGTCCTAGGATTTTGGGGCGTGGAGAAGGGGGCTTTGCAGGAGGGAGATCAAATTCTAGGGTTTTGGAGCGGAGTAAGGGTGCAGAGGTTATATTCGATAGTGGGAGACCTGGAAATAGTGATGAGGGTTTGTTCTCAGATTTTGAACAGTCAGGGCGTGAAGAAGGAGAGGAAGAGAAGGATATGGGGGCTATGCCTGAAAGCCCTTCTACACCAGCTCCACCTCCTCCTATAATTGCTGGTAATTATTCTTGTTATTTCTTGATTGCTTTTTTAGTAATTTTTTTTCTTTTCTCTATTTTTCGAAATAATAATTTGATTGTTTCTTGAAATTGAATTCTTTTTTTTCGATGGAGTCGTTAGGCTATCTATAAATCGAATTCTTCAGTTTTCAATTGGACTGCTTGGTTATTTAATGGTTTGGTTACTGAACTAACATTAATTCTTTGTTTTTGATGGGATGATTTTGTTGCTTATGAAAGTTGGATTATTGTCTTTACAATGAAATGATTAGTTGCTTATCAAAGTCGAATTCATGATTTAGTTACTCCTAAAAGTTGAATTCTTTGGTTTTTCGAAGAGGATGGTTACTTGGAAGGAGACTACTGTATTTTTATTTGTTTATCCATCTAGGGTTTGGTTGTTGTTTAGCTGAGGTCTATTGAATTGGACTTAGTGTAGTGTTTTATGTTGTATTTGTTACTGATAAAAGAAGAGGATGAGGATTGTGCATATCTGGTTAATTATGGGGTCTGTGTACTAGTTCTTCAAGTAGAGATATTAAAATGGATTTAAGAATGGGTCTCCTTTGCTTTTATTCACTTGGTTTTTGGGTGATATTGGATGGTGAATGGGATAGTTTTTCTTTACAATGGGTGATGAATTGCTTTTTTGCTTTAGCTAATTATGGAAGCTGTTTAGTGGTTTTAGGTTGAGGAGCTGTAATTGGATTAAACTACGGATATCTGGGCTTCTCTCTTTATTTTGTGGATTTGGGTGATTAAAGATGGTGAACTGGGTCGGGATGGTTTATTCAGCAAATAGAGATGGTTTCAAGCAGAGAACAAAACTCATTTTGAGTCAAAAAACTTGATCAAGTAGGCAAGTTTTATAAATTGAAAACTTGGAAAATGGTTTTTTTTTTCATTGTGTATAATTTTTTTTGTTGATTTGACAATGACAAGGTTCCTTCTGATGTGGTGCCATTATGGCATTCTTAGGTGATGAGCTGGGTTGGATTTCCATCATGTGTTTTTTACATAATTCTTCATAAAATTTTTGAAGAACTCTTTGAATTTTTCTTAGTTACCTGTTTGACTCAATGAATCAATTCTTTTTTTGGCCACCATGTTCACTGATTGATTTCGAGTTTCAAGTATATAATCCTGAGTTAGACTAGCGTAGCAATTTGATTTTAGCACTCTTCTTCTTTCATCAATGGATTTATCTACCCTTCTCTAGTTCTCTTTGTTTTTGGTTGGTTGGATATAATAGAATTGACCGAGTCTAATCTCTGAATTGGCCAATTCTGTAGCTGACTAGGGCTTGAGACCCTGGCGAGTTTGAAACCAAGTCCTTGGTTTCTTAATCACTGCCAAATTGCAGTTACTTTTTTCTTGATTGGCAGTTCAAAAGTCTTTGAATTTGGTTGAAATTGCATTTTCTTTCAAACATGGGTTCATATTTACACTCTCCTGAGTGACGAAAAATACTAATGGGACAGAGTTTTTATATATTTTCTAGTTCTCTAGGACAATAAAAAAAATATCTCTTTTCAAAATGGAAATTTGTATCCTAATTCTAGGTCAGAGCTTAAAACTTCTTTCTTTAAAAAATAGAAATGGATTTTGTCTAGTGTTTTTTGTTTAAATATCTGTTCTTATGAAATGTTGTTTTTTTCTTCTAGTCCTTTGACGATCCTCGAGTTGGCTTGGAACGTTCTCATTTGTTAATTGTGGGGTTTGGGTAATAGTTACAGATTAAAGATGTATTTGAGTGGCATGATGCTTTTCTTTAAATTATGTCTTTTGTGTCTCATTTATTGAGAAAGTGATCTTGGTCTTTGTTGACCTTAAATTGCTAAGTATTATTTGCCTCCAAATATTGACTTTTCTGTCACGCTTCCCAGGCAACTTTTCTTCTTATTCCGTTTTGTTTGGTTATTGGGGATCCTAAATTGGACGGGATTGCAAATAAATAAATAAATAAAATATTGAGTTTACTTTATTTCTCTGGCTAAAAAGATATCTTGAATTGGATTAGAATGGCTTGTGCCATGAATTCAATGGTTTTCTTTATTTCTCTTGCTAAAAAAATATCTTGAATTGGATTAGAATGGATTTTGCCATGATTTCAATGGTTTTCTGAATCTTATCAAGGCAATGATCTTAAGAGTTCCTGGGCTTTGGGCTTGGCTTGATTGGTTAGATGTTGATAATTGCAGTGTCACATCCAAGGTCTGAATCAGAGTTTAATAGCACAGAACTGGATAGGAGCTGGGCCTGAATTGGGCTCGCAGAGTACTAACTCTGACCAGTCAACAAGACTCATAGAATAATCACTGGATTTTGTTTAAATACCTCGATAGACTCGGCTTACCCGAGTTAGTGTGTGTGCGTGTGTGTGTGTGTATTTAATTTTAGGATCATTCAGGAAACGAAATTTCACATAAATAATATTTTCTCACATACTCTTTTTCTGTGGTTCTCAAGTTATTAATATAAATTGGATCTATATGAAGTTTTCTTTTGTACAAAGCATTTTCTGTATTGTTATCAGGTCAAAGCATGGTTACGTAGAAACTTGCTTGGATCTGCATCCTTAGGACTAGGTGTACTGTTCCCCAGAGGTTGGTATAGGCCGATTCCAAATGTATTTATAGCTATGTTGCAATGGGAAGGACACATGTGTCAACATCTAACATGGATACAAGTGTCAAAGATGTCAATCCTAAAGTTGGAATTTAATAAACGGCACATCCATCCATCATTTAAAGGAGGGGGAGGTGGGATTGTAAGAGAGTTTTAGTACTTCCATTGTCACATTTCAACAGAAAGCGTTAACAGAATTTCTAATTTTCTGAAGTGGCAGACATTGCCATCTCCATGACACTTGCCAAAAACCTTGGACATGCATTCCAAGTTACAGAGATTTGTGGGAAGATGGTTGTCCCTCATAGTAGACACATGTTCTATTAGAAGTGTATCCCATTTTGTACAGGCAATGTGTTCCTTGCGTGCTGGTACCTATATATGCGCCAAATACTTAGCTAGATGGATCCAAGATCCTCACCATGTTTTTGAGGTCATCAAGAATACCAAATTGGATGATAAACGGTTTTGTTCTTTAACTGCAGGTTTTGTTCCTGGTGCTTAAGTGATAGTTCTTGAATTGGACTTGAATGGTATTTTCTGTTAGTCTAGGATCCTTTACACACTTTATTGGGTCAAAGGTTATGCTTTCCTTTCCCATTCCTTTTTAGTCAATTAAAGTTCACTAGAATAACGTTTTCTTGTTAGTTGGATTGCTAAAGGATGTTAAATTGGACAGTCTTGTTCTTAGTTTCCAGAATATTGGTCTAAAAGTCTGGAATTGGATTTTCTTGAAAACGAAGTTTCCCTATACAAGTTAGTGGGTTTAACTCTGTATTTCCCTTTTTAACATCGATATTAAATTGGACAAGTATTGTGTTTCTCATTAGTCATTAGTTGCATTATTCATCATTGTTCTCTAGTTAACGATGTTAGAGTGAGATCGTAGTTCGACTCGTAGTCAGTTGGCCGCCAGGTCTAGGCGGCATGGTTACTTAGCAGCCCGAACTTTGCAGGCAAGATTTCTCAGAACCCAACTCGGGAGTAACCTAGTTGGGTTGACCTGGGTGAATCATATATTTGACCTGCCACGTTTCGAACTGTGAATTGGATGAATCTGGTGCTTTCAAAATTCTTTTTCTTTATGGCCTGAATATGAACTCAAAGATCTTGGCTTTAGTCTGTGTCCTGGAGGGTGCCAAATTAGACAAAACTAGATTTCTCCTTGATAAATATAAGATTTGTTTGGCAATTATTTAGAAACAATTTTGATATTGGATATTGGCTTTCCTTGAAATATGGTACTTTCAATGCAAGTTAGCTGTGGTTTCTATGCTATTTTCTCTTTGTTTTTTGTGGCATCAAGGATATCGAGTTAGACGTAGATTGTGGTTTTTTGTCATATAGTATAATCCATGCCCACACATCATATGAAGAAGTTGATTGAATGGCTGTTTTTTTTAGGAAATTCTGTGTTTCGTTGGATTGATTTTTCTAAATGGAATAACTACCAATTTTTCTAAATGGAATAACTATCGCACTTGACCATCTACCACTAGCCTTTGAAGGCATATATATTAGTGCTCCTTCTACCACTTGCCACCTTCCAACCTGTATCATGTCTTCATTATCATCAGAAATTCTACGTTTTGTGGTTGTCACTAGTTTTCATATTTTACTGCCTTTTTTGCTTGGGCGCTTTGGGTTGAATTCTTGGAATTCTGAATGAATTTTATGTCAGGCATTTGGTTTTGCATTTAAGAATTCCCTTCAGTTTATTTACTCTATAGTTTGAAATTTTGGATCTTGAGGTTTTGAGTTTTGGAATCTTTTGTTTTCTTAAGCCGAGAAATAGGACGGTGTTTCAGCATTTTGATTTATATTTTCTCATTTTGTTTCTCTTTTCTATGATTACTTTGTTACCTCGTTTTTATGCTTTTTATTTCAGTTATATATTTATTTTTTCATGATACAGACAAATATTTTCAACATATTACATTTTGGATATGATAGGGCTTACAGTGAGATAACTTCTTTTCATTTGGAAACTTGAGGGACATAAGTCTGATTATAAACTTGTGAATAGTTAAGCGTGCTTTTTGTATCCAGGTAATGGCTTAGTTTGATAGGGCTTACAGTGAGATGACTTCCTTCCATTTAGGAAACTTGAGGGACATAGGTCTTGATTATAAACTTGTGAATAGTTAAGAATGGCTAGTTGTTCATTATTATATCTACTTATACATTTGTAGTTGGAATTAAGGTTTTTTCCTTTTGTGTTTATATTGTACTATAAAATTTCTTCAGTGGTTATGCATCAGTCAATATTTGTGGGACACGGTTTCTATGCGGCCAGCCCGCATAATGTAGAAATGCGGGCTTGGCAATAAATATAAATTTTAAATATAATTTGATCCTAATTTTTAGAGAATATATAATCTTTAACATGGAGATTATGAATATGAACCACAATTTTACATCCATCTTTAAGATGGACCACAATTTTACATCCATCTTTAAGATGGACCACAATTTTACATCCATCTTTAAGATGGATGTTTTATACCTCTAGACCGCATATTGTAGAAATGCGGTCCTGCCTGCATGAAAATTTTGTTTCCATATGGGAGCGCTTAGAATTGTGCATAATTATTTTCTTTCTTTTTTTTTCCTATTCATGAATTTCGAGATACTTATCAAGAATCATGAGAACTTGAAGATGTTGGTCAAAGGCCAATGGAAGGGACCATCAGAATTGCTTAGAATTGTGCATAATTATTTTCTTTCTTTTTTTCCTATTCACGGATTTTGAGATGTACTTATCAAGAATCATGAGAACTTGAAGTTGTTGGTCAAAGGCCAATGGGAGGGACCATCAGAATTGGTCCATTTCATATCGTTCAAATACTACGATACTATTTGCCATTGTTATAAGGTTACAATCACACTTGTATTTGCCGTTGTTATAAGGTTACAATCACGCTTGGATTGTGTCACGAACTTTGAGAAATTTGTTTTGAGCTGAGTCTAATCAATTACACACTTACAACCACTCAATTTAAAATCTGACGGGCAAAAGTGATTGTGACATCTTTGTACTAAAACTAAATGGTGTTTTTATATATTTTTCCAAATCTCATCCCGCAAAGTGTAGAGCTTAGCCTTGTGGCTAGCTGATTTAGATGTTTCGGCTTTGTTGGGTCACATAACACATCCATGTGATCATAAGACTTCCATGGTGTTTTGAGGGCGACTTGAGAACCAGTTATTTGGTTTGTGGTTTTGAGAGGGAGAGAGAGATTCCAAAACTGTTCTGATGAGAGCCACTTTGCAGGTATCCCAAGCGAGAAGCAACCGGCTGCTAATCCTGAGAAGGGGTCTTCTTCTCAAGCCGAGCATAAGCGCAGGCGAGTTTCAGGCGAAGAAGAGGGCAGTGATTCTCCTCTAAGGGACCAATTACTCCAACTACTTGAGAGGAATAGCAGAGTCTTAACAGCTCAGCTCGAAGCTCAGAATTTGAACTGTCAGCTTGACCGAAACCAGAGAAAGGATCATGCTGAGAGCTTGGTTGGTGTCCTAAACAAACTTGCAGATGCTCTTGGAAGAATTGCAGACAAATTGTAGGGAGAAAAGAGGCAAACTTCGTACTAGTTGTAGGATAGAGAAAAGCATGAAGAATTCATACAAGTTCTAGAGAAAGGAAGGCATGAAAGTTGGAGAAAGCTATTATTAGAATCAATAACAAAACTGCTAGTTTTCTGCTCTTGCAGAAACAGGAAAGCTTGCATATAAATTCAAACCATCTACTGAAGAAACACACTTAAAACGTTGGATGTCGCAGTGCTCATTGGGCAGCCTGTGTTGGTTTCCTCGTGGGGTTTCTTCGTTGTCATATTTTTGGCCCAATTTTTTTGGGAGCATTGTATAGTTTTACCTTTTTCACTGTTTCTATTTTATTTAAAATTATATAGGCGATCAGCCATGATATTGGTGTATATTCAGGGTATAGACTTATACTTCATAATATGAACTGTTGAAGAAGAATTCGATAGCCATTTCGAATGGGTTTGAGCCAGTGTTCCTATCATTTTCTTCTCCTTAAAGTTGTTCCATCTCTTATATCCTTTCCTGCTCATCCTTTGTTTACTCTGGACCCACACACCAACACACTTCCACACCCACCCTCTCTCCGCTCCCTTTGAGCACCAACCATGCCTAAATCTAAAGAAAGAAGAACCAAGTGCACAATTTTTAACTCGGACCCCCAAAATTTGGAAAGAACAACAATTGCATAATGTCTGAGAACAGATTTATATTATATAAATGTAAAATATTCAGATTTCATCTTTGACACAAATTTGAAAAAGAACCACAACCGCATAATGTCTGGCCTGATTCATATACATGCTCACTATATGTACACAATATTTTACTTCTTTCAGAGCCTTTTAGAAAACCCAAAAACTCCATTCATAACTTCAGCTCAAACCCCAGCAATGAGTAGAAACCCAAATATTCCCACAAAAATTCATAAAGATCCAAGCTAAAAGGAGCAGATTGTGGCAATCCATCCAATCCATAAACACTTAACCTTGAACACGGTCAATCAAGAACAGAGACATCAGAGCTCACCTTAGACCTATACCGGCGTTCTCCTCTTTGCGTCCTCTCTCTCTCTACCTCCATTTCATCCTCCTCCATTGAGCACACCTCACTTTCTCCTGTATCACTAGCTGCAATAGCAACAGGACAAGCAAACCCTCCTTCTGATTCACTCCTTGTATCAGAGCTTTCCTTCATAGCTTTTGCATTACCCATCTTCTTCTTAGGCATGAAAGTCACAGGAACAGGAGATTTCATGGAGTAAGCTTCACAGTTTCCTTCACTGCTTGATAAGTTAACAGTCTCTTGAAAAGCATTGAGGTTTGAGTTTTCATCATCCTGGTTTGACCAGTCTAGAGTGTAGTGAATATATTTTGAGGGGTTGCGGATGTAATCGGGAACTACTCGGGCATCAGTATAATTGGAAGAGCTTGTTTCTCTCACTTCACTTGTTTTTGTCGTTAAAGTTGTTTCTCCTACATCAGTATTTTCATTGGAGGGGCTGAGATCTAGTTTGCAGTTTGGATCGAAACGAACACGTTTTCTTGACTCGGGATTGGCCTGATCTCTCTGCCTCTTCAAGATGGGTTTCACCTCCACTGCTTCTTTAGTATTTTCAGGTTGAGTATCCATGGTCTCAACTGTTTGTTTGGTCTCTTTTTCTGGCTTATGTGTGTCATCCTCCATATCATGGACCCCATCTTTATTTTTTTTGACTCTCTCTCTTGCAGCCTCGTCATCATCTTCTTTAAGCCTCTTTTTTGCGGCAAAGTGATTGGCTTGAGGATGCCTCGTGATGTTACCTTCGTTGTGAGAATTTATATGAGGTTTGGTGTCTGTAACATCTCTCATGTAAAGACGCTCACTTGCATTTTCCCTACCAACTGCAACTCTGTCAAATTCATCTTCTTCATCCTGGAAGAGACAATCTCAAGTTAAATAAGAATAAAGGTCTTGTTTATTGGTGAAGAAAGGCCTCTAAAATGACTTTTAAAAAATTAAAAATTTTCTCAAACGACTAAACAAATAACTGGCATCTATTTCATCCCCCAAATTATGCACAAACTAAAGTTCTATTAAGAACTTCAATTTCACATAATAGTGTACCAAATATCAATCTATGTAAAACGCATTTGTTATCAAATATATAAGAACCGAACTAATAGTAGAAAATGATACAAGCAAAACGTTGCAGACTGAAAGTTTGGTTGACAGTAATTCCTGTTAGAAAGCTGCTTGAAGGTGTACATGTGGATGATGGCCTCAGCGTCATCCATGGTTTCTGTTTTAGTTACACTCATGGCATATCAAAATGGTATTCTATTTTATCTTTTATTTTAAAAAATCATAGTACTTGGTCTCAAGCTTTTCCAAAATTAGATGACGAGTAATATAGTGTGGTAACATATGTGCCACGAATTCTGCAGTTGATGAGCTAATTTTTGATGCCCTGCACATGATAACTTAAATTTAGAAACACATAACTAAATCTAATATTTTGCTCAAAGTTCACTAATAGCGCATTTAATTTTTGGAAGAGGTGGCTTTGGAATCTGCCACTTCCCACTACTGTAGCACTTTCCCATTTGATTATGGAAGTACTACAGGTTTTTTGAGAGCCGCAGTATTCCGCAGCACCCAAAACAATGTTAAAAATAGAAAACAGCGTCTTCCATGGGGAACCATGGAAGAGGCGATTTCCATGCGTTGGGAAGTCGCAAAGCGCAATCAAACACACCATAAATGGTTAGTTTTACAAATGTGGAAGCTCCAGTGTGGTGTTTTGGCTGTTGGTTATTAATGTGATACCCATTTTGCATATGGGGATCAAGAGTGAGAACTTTGAAGTTTGCGCATCTAATAAAAGAATAAGAATGCACAGCAAAAACTTGCTAAATAAAATAAAATAAAGAAACCAAAGCAATTCATTGAGCATACTGCAAAGATTTGTGCACATACTCATCTTCAGCATGACCAAAATTACAAAACAAGAAAAAGAATAAAATGACCAAAATAAAAAAATTTCAGTCTTTTTTTTTTTTGAGGAAATGGTGCCTTAAAAACTTTTCAATCTTCATCTCAATCTTATTCTCCAAATTTCAAAATCCCCAACTAGATTGAAATTTCAAAAAAATTTCAGTAGGAACACGTTTTCCACAAGTTAATTGAAAGAATAGTTTTACGAATGTGGGAGATCACGCCTTTGGCCATTGATTTAGTGGCAAGATACCCAATTTGCAGATGGGAAATAAGTTTGTCCAGCTTCCTTAAAAATTTGAAGGTTCGAACAAAATCTAATAATGGCAATATGAATATGCAGCAACAAATTGACAACAAAGAAAGAAAAATAGAAAGAAATATTCACAACAATATATGCATATATCCATCTTCAACACATCCAAAATCGCAAATTTTCCAATTGCTACGTGAACAGCTTAAGCTACCATCTCAAATTTAATATCCAAACTCTGGAATCCCCATCAAAGTTGAAATTAAGCAACATTTTCAAGCGATAATTCATGGCTACATGATTTGGCAAGTTTTTGAAAATGAGAGATGTCATGGGCAAGCTAAACTGAGAAACCAGCCTACTAACTTGGTGGACCAATTCTTGTTTCCAATGACGAGAAACCAGCCTACTAACTTGGTGGATCGATTCTTGTTTCCAATGGCAAATAATCATGAATTTTGCATGCTTTTTAGATTTTGTTTTTATTTTATTTAATACAAGTGGAAATTTTTGTTGCGGGTTTATTTGAAAGAGGGTATTTACTAAAAAAAAAGTGGAAATTTTTGTTGCGGGTTCATTTGAAAGAGGGTATTTTACTAAAAAAAAAAAGTGGAAATTTTTGTTGCGGGTTCATTTGAAAGAGGGTATTTTACCAAATGGAAATTTTTGTTGCGAGGATGATTTTTTTAGGTTTTTTTGCGGGTTCATTTGAAAATAGAAATTTGAAAATGGAAAATTGGAAGTGGAAATGTGAAAGTGGAAATTTTTGTTGCGGGTTCATTTGAAACCTAAAACTCATCCAAGTTTTTTTTTCAGTGGCCATGACCCAGAACTGCCTGGGCAGGAGGGCGGTCCGTTTAATAGTCAAAATAGCCTGGAATAATTGCAGATAAATTACAATACTATAAATTTCATCATACTCCACTTCTTTTTTTCATATTTTTCATAGAAATTATTTTCAAATTCCCAGAGAACCCTCAGTTTAATAGTCAAAATAGTCTGGAATAATTGCAGATAAATTACAATACCATAAATTTCATCATACTCCACTTTCTTTTCTTTTTTCGTATTTTTTATAGAAATTATTTTCAAATTCCCAGAGAACCCTAAATAGTGCTTCCTAACTCAATCTCAACCTTCTCAGCAAACCGAAAGAAAAGAGCAGGCAATTCAAAATTCATACAGAAATTTTTTTATCAATAAACATATCCCTAAAAAACAATCTTTAAGCTACATCATTAGAAAAAAGAAAAACAGCATAAAAAACAAGTCAAAACATAAATAGAAATCTTACCTCTCGATCAAGAGTGGAATCCCGTCCAATGTCCTTCTGCAATGCCCGATACTCCTCCTCATCACAACCCTTTGATGCCTCTCCCATTTCCTCCTCATCAATAGCTTCAAGATCATCTTCAATCGCATCACGAGAAACCCTAGCTTTTCTATCTATTCTCCGCCTTTCACGGCCTGAGACTTCATCAAAGAAAGAAGAACAAGGAATATTTTCCCTTGCTTCGTCTGGTTCATCCCTGCTCCATTCTCGCTTCTCAACAGCGTCATCGCTCAGAGACCAGGCTTGGGGAGATAATGAAGAGAGAGAAGGCAAGGACTGAAACAGAGAGCCAAAGGCCTTGCTAACCCTAATTTTGAAATCGTCAGCCATTAAAGGAGCTTCCAGATTAAGCGCAGTAAAGGGACTGTAAAGCGATACCGCCTCTCGATATGGGGCGCGTCATATTTATAGGAATTGCGCGGGCCGGGCTCGTGGTCTCGGTATATATCAAAGACACCTAAGGCCTTATCCATTTTTCTGTTATTTTATTTACAAAAATTTATCTAGATGAATAATTTAATTATCTTTTTATCTTTTGATTTATTTTCAAAAGATAAAGTTTATCTAGAGCTGCTCTATACAATCAAATTAGATGGCATTGTTTTGATCTCAAAAATCCTCAAATTGATCATCTCGGCATCAAGATGCATGGACATGAGAAAAAATGGATTTCAAGTTTTGAAAATAGTGCATCTTGTAACATATTTTTAAACCGTCAATTTTCAAGATTTTCAAGTTTTCGCAGATATACTCGCTCTACATTATTTTTGAAGCTCTAAATTTTATAGTTAGAGATGAAAATATTTTAAGGCTATCACAAAAATATCTATTATTAAACCTATATTTTTTACACAATTTCAAGGTGTTCTAAAATAATGCATTTTACAACACATTATCTAGACCGCCCATTTTCAAGATTTTCATATATTTATAAATCTACTTTTATTTTAACTATTTTTTAAATTTAAAATTTTATAATTAAATATAAAAATAAATTTTCGTATATTTTTAACAAAAAATTTACATTAAATTTACATGCTATGATAAAATTTGTAGGTGCGCCGTAATTGGATTGCTTTAAGTTGCCACCTTATGAAAACCCCACCCGAATATAAATACTTCATCTTTGATAGGGAGATTGCTAACTATGCGAAATTTTCTAATATAAAACCCTAGGGGAGAGCTTTGGCTTAGAAAATTTCGCTTAGTTAGACATTTTTATATATGGTGCCATCCGCATACAAAATATGTACCACTTGTTATTTTCAGTTATCTTTAAATGGATAGGTGAAAGCATTGAACATCCTATCTTTTGATTTGATGGTTTGGTACATATCTTATTTTAATTTTATCTTTTATTTTTGTAGTAATTTTGACATGGAATTAAGGCATGCCATTTCCTAATAAACAAAAAACACCAAAAATATTTATGATAATAACAAATTACCAAAATATGCATGTAACTTGTATGGGTATTTGGTTATTTTTTATCCTAAATTTTATTTCTTATTTTTAAGAGGTGTGCCCTTATAAGAAATAGCCATTGCCCCAAATTTCACGAGATAACATATAAAACAAATAATAATAAAATAGTCTTAGGCATGATATTAGGATTGAAGCTATCCCAAGTGTCTATGTTTTTTATGTGGGTGATTCTAAATATACAGGTTTCTACAACACATCATTATTTTATAAATAAAATATTATAATTTTACTACAATATGTTATTTCATATGTGTTGAAAGAATGTATTAATTAAGGAAAAAGTTTATACTAAGTGTTAGGCCTTAAACAATGAAATTAAAGCGCGCCTTAAAATTTACTAGAAGAGGTTATCTTAATGCTTAAAAGCCTTCAAATTTGATCATCTTGACCTCAAGATGTATGAACAAGATAGAGAATAGATTTCAAGTCTTGAAAATAGTGCATCTTATGACGTATTATCTAGACTGTCAATTTTCAAGATTTTTAAGTGTTCATAGAACTGTTCGATCTACACTATTTTTTAATATTTAAATATTATAATTAAAGATGGAAATAAAGTTTTAGGCAATTATAAAGATTGATGATATTAAAACAAAATATTTCAACACTATTTGAAGGTACGCCTTAATTTAACTGTTTAGGGCGTCAACCTAACACAAACTTGTTTGTTTGTATGTATTATTGCTTAATCTTCTTCTTCTTTGTTTTCTTTTATTTTTTTTATTTTTTTTTATAAACATATATATCCTAGGTTTTGAGGTCTCTATGTTTAGATGCCTCCCAATTGTTTTTCTTCGTAGGGTCCCAATATTTGTACATTTAATTTGAAGGGCCAAAACTTAGTACCCCTTAATTTTTAGAGCAGCGACCTAACCCCAAATTTAGGGGTTTGAAATAAGGTATTGGCTTTCACCTTCATCTGGGTATGGCTATAGAAGATGAACTTCTAAGCCATGTTAAATTTGTTGAGTAATAGTGTTTCAAAAGAAGCAAGGGACTTTGGAATTTATTTGGGAGTTTTTTATAAAGGAAAAATGGTTTGATAGGGCTGCGGCACTACGAGAATAAGTAAATCTTCACCTCATATCTCATCGAAAATTATAGTTCAAGCATTGAAAAACATTACATCGATCATCTCGGGGTGAATATTATGTTTATGAAAAAAAATTACGATTTTAAGCTCTAAAAATAGTACATATTATAAAAAATTATCTAAAACGTCCATTTCACCCTAAATGTAAATGTTCATAGATCCACAAGATCTCTACACTTTATTAGTTTTAAATCTTATATTCGGTATTGGAAATTGATTTTAGATCCATCATGAAATTTTTCAATACCCAAAGTTGCTTTCAAGACGAGAATCTGAGATGAGGCTTTATTTTGTTTTCATAAAACCCATGCCTTAGAGAAGCTTCGACCCTTATCCTCTCATAAATGATAGAAGGTATGTTTTAGTTGCAACTTTTAGTCCCACATTGAGGAATGGGAGCAGTAGCGGCATCTTGTTAGGTAGAATTCCTTTGTGTAAACATAACAGAGTGAAGGCCCACCAAAAGCATTTGAAATACGCCATATGCATATGCATGTCTGAGCGGGATGCGTGAGGGCGCACGACTTCTAAAGCATTTAAACATGTATAATGACAGGATTCCCTTTTCTATAAATTAGTATCATCATTATTATAGTTTTTTGTTTTTTTAACTATTTGGGTCCGTTATCTGAATCTCTGCTATTTTGTTTTATCATGGATCATATCTTTTATAAAGTTATAAATCATCTTTTCTCACTACTTCTAAGGGTCATTCTCTATTAACTGATATAAAGATTTATTCAATCATATCCTTCTGGACCCTACTCTATAAACCAATATAAGGACCTAAAATTTATGCCTTGTATTGTGTGAAGCGAGCCTGCCAATTAGGGGTCATTGAGCTAGTGAGGAATTATGATGAAATAAGAAGAAAAATTAACAAGAGGAATTATGATAAAATAAGGAAAAAAAAATAACAAAATACCTATTGGAATTCTCAAAATACCATTAACTTGTAGTTCATTCCCTCCCTATGGAAGTGGGTATAATTTGGTAGAGGATGGTGCACCCAACTAAAGGTGAAAGTAATGTATGAGTCAAGGTGAAGCCTAGGGTTCTTTGAATATGATAAGCTAAGTCTTTTATGGATGCAAGATGAAAATAAGGGAAACCGGCAAATTACATATAAAAATATAGAAATACAATTTGATAGAATTGATACAAGATTTTGCACTTCACACGCTCACATTAGTATTTTATACTTCACACAATTACATTGGTGAAGAAGTGTCCTTAGCTATGTTGGTCACACTCCCTCTTTGAGTATCCTTTTGCTCTTACCGAATGGACCACTCTACAAATGGGACCATGATACTAGGACTATAGGTACCTCTATCTCGACAACGACACATGTCGAGACAGGTAGCGATGCACATCGGCAATCATGTGTTCCAACACTCTTGCGGTGACACGTGGCCTTATATAAATCTCATCCTCCATTTTAAGGTCGATTTTCCTTGAATATTTGGTCATTTTCTTTATCCTCACCCCACACCTCGAACAAGTTAAACCTCATAGTGAATTGAACTTTGTTCAACTGACTTCAGCTAGATTCCTTTTGAATCGATGCTTGTTCACTCCTTTATTGATTTGAAGGGATTCAAAAGAGTTTATGAGAGTGCAACCCACAATTTCAAAAGTTGCCTCACCGAATTGGATGTACTATGAAACCCTACTCTTATGATTGTATCTTAGTTTGTTCTTTCACCAAGTCGGGGTTGCTCAATACTTTGTTATAATTGTGTTTAATATCTGTTGGAAGTCAATTCAACAATGTCTTGCATGGGCCAAGGTCGAGTTTGGCCTAAAAGTCCAGAGTTCTGGTTGGAAACAAAAATTATTATATGCCGATCTGGGAGAGTGCAAAAAGTTGTTGTTTGATTAGTTCAACAAAAGGTCCATAGGATAAGAGAGACAATATACTAAACAGGTGGATAGGCTCTCCACTTTGACTGGAGCATCACTTTGTATAAGAGCACCACTTTGTCAAGAGCGAGCACAGTTGCATCACTCTTGACAGAGTGTGTAGCTCATGTCAAATTAATGCACTAGTCAAGCGGTAAAACCCTTTTCTATTATCCTTTTTGGATCGCATGCAAGCAATGAATAGAAAGGTTATCCTTTATGAAAATTTAGCTTCTTATTGTCCATTTTTTAAAAGGGAAAAGTTTATATAGAGCCTAGGCTCTAACCAATCAAATTAGAGCATGCGGTTGTTTTGATGCCCAAATATCATCAAATTGATCATCTGACATCAAGATGCCTCACTTTCACACTCATTTTGGTGAGTTTATTAAGAATGCCCCTACATATAAAACATTCCAACTAATGCCAGTCATATAGAACTTATTCATGCAAGTCCATCACTAAACTTATCTACCGCATGGATCTTTTGAGAATGGGTGCTTATACACCAATTATTTATTATCTAATGATCCAACTAACCATGCAAACAACTTGTTTTTAACACATTGAATTTCAAGTAACAAAGGGCCTAGATTGGGTTCCCGACGTTGATGGTTACTTTATGAGCTCTAGCCCCATTCTACTTGACATATGACCGATGCCTTCTCTTTGTAAGGGCATTTGCAAATGGATCGGCCAAGTTATCTTTTGATCTTACAAATTCTAGACTTACCGGTCCATCTTTAATTAACATTTGGATGGAGTCGTATCTAAGTACTTTTTTTTTAAGTGTATTTTTTACTTGTAATTTATCCCCAGTTCAAAATCAAAATTTTGAGTTGCGTGAAAGACAAAAATATACTTTTGAGTTGTGTTTAAAATAGCAGTTTTTTC